CGTTGTTAGACGACCTTATATTGCTACAGTTTTCCAACGAAGAACTTTTGACACCGTTACGTTTATGAGATTGTGAGTAAACAAAAAAAATAAGGTTTTATTGCTTTAAATATTACATTATATTCAGAGTTGTATAATTTTATGAGACGCATATACTTAAGTATGACTCACTGCAACTGATTACTTTTTAGTTATTTTTAAATTCGTAAAATAATGCAATAAAGCACACGGTTTATTATTTTCATTAAAGGAAATATTTTCACATTAATTTCCCCAGAAATATTTACCCCATAAATACATACATTTTAAAAATGCGTTATAAGTCTGGTACAGATTGCCAAGTTATTGAATTTTAAATTAAATTACTGTTAATATCGACCAAAATCAAAAACAAAGGTTTAGCTTTGGTTCACATTTCACATATGACATAATAGAGCCCCATTTAAAAAACACGCATTCCTATTTTAAAAAGAACAAAAGATAAAATGATATTGCTGTACGCACTACGCAATATCCTGCGCTCGCGTACACACGTCAGCCGCTGTCAACTTGACAGATGGTACGCTCTGGCAACAAAAAAGGCGCGTAAACAAAACTCACTCTAAAAATAGTGACATTTGGCACACAGAATAGTTTGTTGATTCCCACTTTTTTTATCTAGTTAAAATAATAGAAATTCAACGTTTCCCCTTTGTCAGATTTCACAAAAATAAATGCCTATATTGTTTATAACAAGAAGCCACTTAACTGCAAACTAATTCAGTACTATGTAAGTTGAAACTAATGTGTTGGACAATTTCAACAGCTTTTAATCATTAACTTGTAGTTAGTTTCTGATTGCGAGAACAATTAACGTGTGTAACTAAACTAATTTGAAGAAGAAGTGAGATTATTTCAGTGTTTGAACCGTTTATTGTTAAGAACAGTTTCGTAAAATAGATCGTGAAAATAAATTCCGTAGCAACATTGATCACACTGAAATATTTTTGCATTTCGTATTTAATTTTTATTATTTTTTTCAAATTGACTCTCCTCAAACATAAATATTATTTTAAACTTTTCCAATGTACCAAATACATTCGATTTAAAACTTATTATTCAAGTAATAGAGTACCACTCTAACATTATATTCATAAACAAGCTAACCGAATCCATTGTAAACTTGAACGATATGCAAGAACAAAAACATAAACGAGATAAATATAAAGTATTGTTTGTCCCACACCAGTATCGCGTCAGCGTACACTTTCGTCGTCAAGGGTGTTTTGATCGCGACAATAAAAGAGATTGTGTGTGACAATAAGCGACACTTGTACAAACAGTCGCTATTAACATTTATTCGGCCAGTAAAACCCCGAAGGTTGCACGTTTACATGACGTTAATGGCCGCTGTTTCGCTAAATTAAAAAGTAAAAATAAACGTTTGACAGTTAAGTCAGTTAATCCATGTCCTCACTGAAAGTCTTCACCTAACCCAACTAACCACCTTTAGACAGCAAATCTGGCCTAGTGCAAGTTGGTTGAGTTCACACGCAACTTTGATTCATTCATTATTAATCTTTGATCCAAAAAATGGAAAACATATTTGTTCAAACATATGAACATGGCCGTTACTCCTGTGCAATCTACGTAGCTACTACGCCTACTAGGTAAGGTAACCTAGTATCAATCGATCATTTGTTATCACAATGTAATCAACACAAAACGTATTCAAATCCTCCTATACTAGCAGACACATAAAGGGTCCATAACAATTACATGTGCAAACAATCGGCGGCCAATCTCCCGCCAATTCGAGCAGGCGGTCGTTAAACGAAAACAAAAGCAATTAAGAGATGCAAATTGTTTGAGCCGATCTGTTATTACCGACCGTTGAGATTCAATAAAACAAACCGTTGTTCTAATTACCTATAAAACTGAATTAATCTTTATATTTGTAAGTAATTCCCACCAAATAGGTTTAATAAATTCGTCTATTATAATACAATATACATAAATAATCTTATCAATCCCTCGCAGGAATTATGCGTTTTTGGGCTTTATGACTGTCGCCCGCAACTCCGTTCGCGCGAAGTTAAAAAACCTACATCTATGACAAATTTCAGCGAGAACTCAATTGATCGTCAATTTTTGACACTCTAAATAGAGTATAGTCTTAACTTAATCAAATTCTACATCCAACGGTGGGAATCAAAGCACTATTAGTAACATTCGTGACAAGATGGCTGCCAATCACGTGTGTCGCAGTGACCAGTGCACTGACCCCCCTTTGATGTTAATGTCACTTATAAAACACACCATATAAATACAACTTCGTTTTATTACGCAGCTCAACTTAGGTCGTTAGACTGGCTTTTATTGTTAAAAAAAACTTCAGTCGTATTAGAAAACTACAGCGTAAGAAATACAGTGGAAAGAATGAATTTATTTTTAAGCATAAAAGTCATTGTTTTACGTTTTGCTGCATTGTTTAATGTTTTATAATTATTTTATAATTAACTAAGAAACTAATTGAGATTCTGACATGTTAATTGAGATTGTGTTTGACTTATTGGAAATAAAATAAATTACTTCATATAGATAAATATGCGCTAATTTCGTTAATTAACTTTGTAACCTAAAAAACATTATCAGTTTTATCTACAATACATAAACGTAAGGTTTTAACGTAATAGATTTGTAGATATAGAAAGCTCTAACTGTCCTCAGAAACTTTAATTCTGTTAAATTCGAAACAGATTAAGAACTTTCAACAACCCGAAAACAAGTACTAATCCCCTCTAACAATTAGCATGACAAAGGCTTTGTTTTGTTCGAGACGTTTCTACGGATTACGTCCCTTGTGACTTTGTGTTGGGCGTGGGCGTGGGCAAGTCGTGTTTCGTAAATAAATAAAAATATGTCTGTCTCGAGATAAAGCGGGCAATATTTCACGCGATAATCTGTTCTCAGTGTGAGCCGAGCTAAATCCCAACGGGCTCATTAGAATTTTATAGTTTTATGTTCACATATACATTTGGTTGGTACAAACGTTGATTTATACTAGCTGTCACCGGCGACTCGGTCGGCGCGGTATTAAAAAAAAGTAAATTAGTAGCCTATATGTTCTTCCAGACTATGATCTCCGTCTTTGCCAAATTTCAACCGAATCCGTTCAGCCGTTCTGGAGATACCTTCAAACATCCATCTATCCATTTAAACATTTGCATTTATAATATTAGTAAAATGAAGTACACATTTTTGTTGGTAACCACGGATACTCAGAAATTGCGCAGTAAAGTAGCCTTTTTATGACCACGAAGTTTAAATACTACTTTTATAAGGTGACAATTCTTATTTCAACTTAAAAACTGTACTTTTTTACTAAAATGGTCAATTATTGATAAAACAACTACAAAGTTAAAGTCTGTTACCTGTTACTTAACTGGTGCATTCAACACAATTGGTGAAGAAAGTTAAGAAAGTGTCGCAAACAATTCGCGAACGATTTTAACATTTAGAATGTTCGCTTTCGTTAATTTTTTTCCTAAAAAAAACAAGTTCATACTATTTTAGGTCTTAAGTCTATGTAATTAAGTTCATAATGGTAAGAAATAGTGAAATTTTGAGTCGTGCATTGTGACGGAGGCTGTAGGAAAGGCAAGGCACTAAGAGCCGGCACTAAGGCATTGTTCGCAGGTGAGAGGCAGACCGGAGAGTGCAGCTAAGCGCACTTTGTTAGTATTTCGAGCACAATATTACTCGGATAGTGTTATGTACACTCGCACACGATTCGCTATCCCTTTTGTTAAATTTAGTATAGTTTTCAAAGACTTATTTTATGTTTTGTCTCGTCTGGACAATATAACTACAGACTTATGATTTTTCTTTACCTATAACTATTCGTAAATGTCTGCCACGGCTTTATTACAAGTATAGAATTGAGAGTTGATCAGTTTTTCATTATTAAGCGCTTTTATTTAATATTGTATGAAAAGTCTGAAGATGCAAAAACTAAAAAAAAAGTATTAAGTTTAAGAGAACAGATAATAAAATAAACTAACTTTTTATTGTAAAACTAAATCAAAATATTCTTTCCTCTACTTCATGCTATAAAATAACATTCATGACATCATGATTGATCTACTTTTGATGCTTTTATTTAGCGCAACGCCCTTGTATGCGAGTAGTTACCTACATTTTGTTCGACGAATAGTTGCAATTGTACTTTTGCTTTTTACTATTTAATGAAACAGTACAATTGCAAATGAAACACGTTTTTGTTATATTACACGTGCTATTTAATTTCAACATGTTTTCGAAATATGTATCACAAAGGTTTAAATTTTATAAAGTAAATAATTCTAAGTATTTCTTACAATGTTATTTTCATATTTAGTTGAAAAACAAAAATCCTTAGTAAATGAAGCAAGAATTACGTTTTTATGACTCTATAATGTAACTCAAGTTTCCTAATAGAGATAAGATGTTTATTAAATTTAATTAACATTTATGCTTTTAAATATTTTTAAAAGTAAAAATGCAAAAAAATAATCATGGCATCCATCAAGAAGAGTATATTCCAAATTAAATTAATACCAATGTTATTATTTAAAACGTCTATGTATTATATTTTTATAGTATGCATTACTGATTCTTAATAAGTGAAAAAAATATATATGGAAACTATTTAATATTCGTCAGTGCGGGCTAAAGTAATTAATGACCCAGCCTTTACACGTCACATTTTGCCCATTTTACGAAATTACGTGGTTATTTAAAAGCAGTAATTTCGGTTGAGTAGGCTTAAATGAAAAACGGCGCGCAGAGGGGTATTGTTATATCTAGTTAATTAAAAACGTTAATTTATTCCCTTGTAATTATTATTTTAATTAGTTATTGCATATTCATACGAATAAATATGATATTTATAACTACAATGATAAATGACCGAACATTTTATTGAGCATCTATGTTATTTGTAAAACCTGTCATTAACATTAGTTTTGTCTCAATTCCAGGTGGCAGCATGAGTTGTCTGTAACACGTTGTGGCGTTCGTGAGGTGTGTGTGAGGTGCGCGGCACGATGACTTCGGAGCGGGCCATCCCGCATCTGCGAGACATCTTCAGCCTGAACCAGCAGTACGATGGCAAGGCGTACGATGACGACGACACAAACAAGAAGGCCGCACGGAAGAAGAAAGAAGACTACCGTACCTACACCAATGGCGACGTCAAGACCCTCGAAAGGCATCTCAGTATGAAGAAAACGATAAGGAAAAAGATCATGCGCGACCTTCAGCAGGCATTCGTTGAAGACCCTAACGAGTTTAAGGTCGAGAACACGAGCCCGGAAAAGTTGAAAGCGGAACTGAGCGCAGAGGCAGTTAAAATCGAGAAGAACGTTCGCAAGAATGATCCGACTTTCTTAGACATGCTGCGCGGAGAGACCAGGGGCGAGGAGACGCGGGAGGAGCAGCCACCCGCCGAAAAGACCAGCTTCTGGCGACGGCTCACCATGAAGAATAAAAATAAGAGATAATTGAAGAGCGGCAGCCGAACACCTCTTACTCCGTTTTATAACCACATTTTCTAGGAGATCGGGACTCCAATTAAGAAATTTTCTGATGGCAGCTCAAAGATCTCGATTTAATTTTATCGATTCTCAATCTCCTAGGGAATACTTTATTGATCTCTGTGTCAATTACTTAATTGAATGTTCTATAAAATATTTTAATGAATTAAGTAACAGAAGTGAAGCCGACTTTTGAAGCAAATTAATGTCATATCGTATACATTTTAATCACCGACTGATCTTGTAAATCTTTACACTGCCTCTGGTTGACTATTTCTGTACATTGTATTTTTATATACTAAGTATTTGAGATTATTGTTTTTCAAATAATTGTAATTTTTTTATTCCGCTATTGTGGCAAACCGAAGAGTTTGTAACATTTTCATTTTATAATTAAATCCTCTATTGGGAACGAAAGTAATGTGAATATTAAATTTCAATCTGGCAACTTTTAATTTAACATTTACTGTTGTCATTGCTTTATGCTTACATTTCAAACGGAAAATTCAATGAAAAATCGGAATAAAATTGTTAAAATATGGCGCTGAATGTATTTTTATCCGAGTAATCGCTAATGTTTTTAATAATTATAATATTGTAAATGCAATTATTATGCATGTGTTTATATTTAAAACTATACTGCATAAAGATAGAAAGCAAAAAAGTCTATTGACCTGAATTTTACTAACAGTGGATTTCTGATACCAAAATCTCTTGTGTAAATCATACTGCTATCTCTGTTTTGTCAAAGATAAAAGACAGGGATAACGATATGTTTTATACAGAGATTTTAGTCTTAGAAGCCCATGATAAATGTATTACCTGTCATTTTTATATTCCGTATATTTGACCACGAGTTATTCCTGTTGTATTTGATATTAAGATGTATGCATTTACTCTGGGAACTTTTAAATGTACTTAACATGAGCTCTAGTTGTAAAATGCATAATATTAAGTTTTATATTGTCTATGTCTTGTTTAGGTTAAGCTTACGGGTTGGAACGGAGTAAGGAGTAATATCGGTAAATGTGGCTTATTATTATTAAAACAATCTCGTTTTTATGTGATGTAATTAAGTCGGAAAGTATGTAATAAGCGATAATAAGTGGTCCCTAAATGTAGTTTAAGGTAGGCTCGTGGCAATTCCCTGTTGTGACATTTTTTTATCATAATTATTATCCTATATAAAGTGATTTTACACGTTTATACCTTGTGTTTTATTATAACTGCTGTTATTCTATTGTATTGACTGATCCTGTGTATAAAAGTAATAAACTATTTAGTTAAAAATAATAAAAAACATTACCGCTACTTGTAAGAGAGTATCTGATAAAACTCGAAAAATTGTTTAAAGCGCCATCTTTTGAAAATAACGGAACATGTAAGAAATTGAGAGCTCAGTTCGTAAACTGTCGCTCCGGAGTCAAGAATTTACCTAAAATTTGATTACTCTTTATGTTTTCTTATAATTTGATCTTTATATTGGATTAATCTCGGTTAATATAGGATGAGGGGTAAATCATACACTGAACTCTAGGACAGGTCGTTGCTTGGAAATGACGGTTTTGTATACTTTAGTTTCGAATTTATTTATAGTTGCATTAGTTTAAATTTTGCGCAGACGGAATCGCGGGCAACAGCTATATCACTACATGCTAATATTATACGTATGTTCAGATGAATTATCTCCAAATCTCAATGAAATTTGGCGTAGCTATAGAACATAGCCTGGAAGGACTTGTTAATTTTATTTTAATTTTGGCGTAGATGGCGTTGCACGAGTTGCAATTGACTGTAAATTAAGAAATATTGAACTTTATATTTTATGTATCATTCTTATTTCTATTTTCATTTTTATATTCTTATTTTATGTGAAGCAGAAAGTATTGCAAAGTAAAGAGCGCCTACTGAAGTATATTTCCTGAATATATTCCGTTTGCAATTATTTGTAACACATACTTACTTCATACTTACGTCTCGAAGTCTGGCCTCGCTCTCGAAGCATACTCGCTATCCTAATATGGTCTGGTTGATTTTTAGTCCAGTTTTTCAGTAGATTTAAAACTTCAGTTCACACTGCCGTACAAAAAATATGTACAAAGTCAAACAAGGTTTTTGTACGTGTTTCAGCCTTGTAAATTCAAGGTCAGAACCCAAGTCGTTTTCAAAAAACTGTCGGACCTTATTCTGTCACCCCTAACTTAGGGTAGGCTCCGGCCCCTCAGTGGGAGACAGTGAGCTGATGATTCTTTGAGACACTTGTGTGAAACTATATTTAACACATATTACGGCAGTGGGACTTCGTGGGTATTTATAGGTTTGAACCTAAACAGTGTCTTAAGTACTCAATTATATTTACTGAAAAATTTGAAATATGTGGCCATTTAGAATATTTGCGTACTTTAGACACTATTTAGAAGGAATAAATTAAACAACAGGTAGAGTTAAAATTTGTTTATTTATGGTTTAAAGGTTTTTTGAATTTTTAATTCAAAATCCGGTTCCCTACTCCTACACCTGCTGAGAAGAACCGGCAAGAAACTCAGCAAGTGATATATTTTTTTTTGAAATCTGTACTTTGACAATCTTTATAACACTTTATATTTTGACATTTTTTGTATTGTATTGTATTTTTTTATATCTTTTCAATTGTATTTTTGGTTACATTTCATATGTTTTTATTTTTTTTAAATAATTCTTTACATAAATGTTTTAAATAAAATTTAAAAAAAATTACACATTTATTTCTTCATTTGAAGACAATAAAAATCACTTTAGACCATCATGTAGTTATCTGTTCCTTTTAACTCAATATGTCACCTATCTGCCCTATCCTATGTCACCCACCTAAACCTAAGGTCTTACAAAACATTGAAAAGAAACATTACATATTAAAACTAATCCTGTAGATTTCATATTACATTTCTTTTACATGGTTTCCGTCCTTTCAGTATTACTTATTATTGATACATTTTTATCAATCCGTCTTGAAATTACACGCCCTACTAAGTGTAAAAGCTTAACGCTTAACATCTGAAATATCACAAACCATTACTTCTTAGTCTACCTAATTCTTAAGCTACATTCGTCTACGCTAGATAAAAATTATCTTATGACTATTTACGTAAATCTATAAAACAGCTTATACTATATATCTTACGAGTACACAACATATTACCTCTAAAATAACACTTAGGTCATCGCCCGGTTTTGTCTGACGTTTACTGCAATTTATTTGTCGCTGAATCAAATCTAAGATTTTTCTGAGGTCATGAATATCCTACCTATTTCTTGTGGTCTAGGTCTGGGCTTATATCTTAAAACTAGGCTTATAAAATACCTATAATTAGATAAAATAATACTCTACCTAAATATACGTAAATATTGTAAATATCAAATTTACATACCTAGTTTGTAGTTTCGTTGTATAGTTTTATTTATTAATACTGGATTTACAATACTGATGAATCCCTTTGTATGTTAGTAAAAGTATGATTAGCAATATCAAATGAAATCGGTTAAATTTTGGTGAATTTCACACGCAACCTTTATAAGTCCGTTAGCGTCTATTGTCATGTGTACCCATCGAACATATACTGCGGTCAAAGCTTATAGGAAAAAGTAGATCTGAAACTTAATTACAATTAATTAAAGCACAAGTAACAAGCATCAAAACCTGTTAAATGTGCAACACATTGGAGGGAAATAATTGTTTTCTTAAACTTACATTATTTGTATAATTTTCTTAGTAAATTCTTTAATTAAATGAGAATGGAATGCACGTATTCATTTCTATTTCCCTATTCGTATTGGTTCAATATTGTTTGGACATCAAAATATGTTTCTCTCAATTTAAATTTTTTAACAAAACTTGACAATAAAACTTGACTTCTTAGCTAAACTTGACTGGATAAAAATATCATAGTAGATGATAATCATTTCAGTGATTATTTTCATTTACTTTATACTTTAGTATTTTCTCATAATTTCTTATATCTTTTATCTCAAAAATTCCATCCATATAACGTAACCTTTACAATTTTAAGACATCTCTTCAACTTTCCAATAATCAGACGATTTAACTCCTGTCGATTTCATATTGCAAGCTTCATGGTACGAATAACAAGCTAAAGCTAAAGACACCTAAAGAAAGCATTAGGAATAAAATGAATCAAACACAATATACAAGTAGAAATAACAAACGTGTGTTATAAGGAAAAGACATGACGATTTTAGAGAAAAAATAGTAAATCTACCACCGACACCGGAGCGTTAATGCAACAATTAGGATATTGCTTACATACACATATCTAGTAGCTGTGCTGTGTACGTAGATACAGATTGCTCAAGCAAAATGCTTTCGTATACTAAAGACTATGTGAGTCACAAATCTGATACATCCTGTACATATGTTAACTACAGCAATTGATGACCTAAATCACGTAAGTATTCAGCTCCTTTAGTTGTAACAAACTGGCAGGATGAGGCAACAAAAATAGGTTAATGTTTTACGATGAATAAAAAATTTGCGATAGTAAATTTTAATCAAATGTAAATCACATTCCAAATTAATTATAGCAAACATATCACCATTAACTACACACCACGATACCTTCTTCCATTGGTACACAAGAAAAAATTTGATCTAAAACATTAAATTCACTTCATAATGCAAAACTATCACTTTCCACTTTACGATACCTATTTTAGTGAAATTTGACGAACTCAAATTATATCGATTTTATACCAAAAAAAAACAAATTCTTATCAAACACATACTAATTTATCACCAATGAACACACTAAATCGATTATTCCCACAAACTATCACTATTAAAAATTTTGTTACTTACGGGTTATACTTATTCCATTATTCTGAATTTCGGTAATTCATCTCGTCTTATTATCCCTGATTACTTTCCATTTTTATTATAAATCATTTACTTCACGATACTCTAATTTCCAACGTATTTATATTTCCGACGTGACATCTAAACCGATTTTTGCCCAATCTAATGCGCCTAATTTTCCCAAACATTGACATCACAATTTAAACGCACTTCATTACACAAATATAAAACTTCACTCATTTCATCTACTGCACTCATTTTCAAGCTACCACTAAACTTTTGGACTTATGTCTCATTTTTTATCATTACGTACTTGAGTCGGTGTGCCAGAGATGTGTTAATGTGCATCCATTACAGTGAATAAAAATCGTGGTCTGGAAAATTATGGTGTGGGCTGCAAAAGATAAGTCAATATTATCCCTACTTAACGGCATTCGCCGTATAAGATAAGAACAAAAAATCAATCAAAGAATGCATTAACTGACAGGAAAATGACTAGACAAATCCAAGTTGATATAAATATTAAAAATATATTATATTGTAAGTATTCAAACGAAATTCAAAACAGATAAAGTATCTCAAAATACAAGCTGAGTGTTATCAATTCGATGATCTTTCAAAAACTTACTGAAATATGGAGTAAAAATCCTTTCGGTACTTCAACGCTATAACAAAAAGTCAAATTAAGACGCCCTAACATTGAGTTTTAAAGATAAACATTTCGATATACATTGTTAGCCTGTTGAGTTATAAAAAATGATTTAAGTGCAAAAACAAACCATATACATCGTAAATCAGTCGCATTATGTCGCTCTACGCTGGAGGCACGAAACTCGGAAGCAGGTCATTACCGAAAGCACGACCTAAATCAAAATCAAACAACAAACCCAATATGCTCAATTACAACCTAACATATCGCATATCCATTCCCAAAGCTCATCAGAAACATGTGGTTACTTTAGCTAGTATTGCTAGATTAAACACAATGCTAAAAGTCGGACTCATGGAATATCAAGCGCAATGATGTTTAGTAAATATTTAGGCAGCACAATTTTGATTAATGCAAAAAGTCAATATTTGTAATTTTGTAAAGAATTATTAAGATATAACTGTTAAAACATAAAACGTGAAATCAAAAATGTAACGACAGTGAGATCACGTAATTTTAATTTTGTAAGTATTATCATACAATTTCACATCATTTATTTTACTTACTGCAATTCTCAAAAGTGCCTTAACTGAAGCAAGTTGCATGGATGCTAATCAAACGTATTGTTAAACATTACTTTAAATTTAGCATAATATTTCCATTCCCGCGTTTAAAATGTTTTGGTGCTGTTAGAACTCCGGCTAAAGTGCAAACTGGATAACTACTATCTTTCATGCATTTGCATAGCCTTAGTTGACTTTCCAATTGTGAATTTTATAATGTAATCCAAGAATGTGTAGTGTAAAAAATTCATTATATTGCTCTAAATTTTAATCGTCTATACCTCTGAAAGTAGTCTATTCGCGAACCTTCTGTAAAAGATAAAACGTATTAACCTGAAAAGAAAAACTATTAATTGACCTAAGGGTCTTAGAAACCTAATTAATTAAAGCGTTAAGCCCATATAACATTTTAAATTAGAATTTGTAATGTTTCAATCAAAATTCAGGTACACTAAAAGCTCTGATGTCTTTTTGGAAGCATTTCGTTAAACTATTTTTGTTTACAAATACATTGGTAATTTACGGTGCTAAAAACTGAATTAAATGAGTCTGTACTTAGTGAGGCTACATTTACTAACAGAAAGAGTTTTTAGCGGACCTAAGTTAATCGATAATTTTAAAAAAAGCTTTTTTTACGTTCCTGTGCTACGGCCACACTTAATAGCTAGTAACTATGGTCTGGTGTTTAAAAAAAGCATTTTTTATTCACTAAATGTATCCATTAATATAAATTAATTAGATAAACATTTAATGTAAAATTCATACCACTACATATCTGCTCCATTAAACGTGACTGGAAAACCGTGTGAATCTGTAACAATTCTATGTAACTTGTCCTACCTAACCTAACTTTTTCGTTTTTCAATTTCACAATACCAGTACCGAAAAAGAGTTCAGTTATAGATTGATCAAATCCGAATAATCAGGAAAAACGTAAATTTTAAAATTTATACTAAAGCAAAAAAAATCTACGATTCTCTCCTTGAAATACTTTTACGTCGTATTACAACAAAGATAATATTTGATAGAATTTTAGTGAATATCCGATTAGTAAAATTTGACTTACTATTTACACCAGTTTTTTTTTTGTTACACAACTACGTCGTGCAGAGTCGCACTGTATTAAAATCGCGAACTGTAAAAAAAACATTATCTCTTTGCCTATCCCTCCCTCATACTCATACACTCATACATAAATAAAACAAAACTAGAATGCCGCCGGCAGCAGACTATTTGTTCTTAACCTGAAACAGTTACAATGAACACGAATATTATCCACACACAGTGTGGTGCAAATAACAATTTACATTTATTTTACAAATGTACAATCTATTAGATTTACAGATGATACTTCTACAATAAAAATGGATAAAATCGTAGTCTAACAAATTATTTAATTATTTTATAAAAGCTGTATTCATTGGATTACGTTTTCGGTAATTAAAGGTTTCTTTACTAAGCTAAAATATAGGAAAACTTGTGTATAGATTAGAAGTTCCGCTTTAGGAAAAGGTTTAAGAAAATAAGATAACGCACTCTCCAATCTCCGAATAATTCGATGTTTATAATTTATTTTAGTATTGATGTCGTCTTTTGATTGTTTCGCTTTTCTCTTTTCTATGATGTGTAGATTTGTGGCTATAATTGTCAGAGAGGTTATAAAATTTTGATATGTAAATATTACGTTTATTTAAGAAAAATAATGTATGAGAAATAACTAGATAGCCGCAACATATTATAGTTAAAAGGACTAAATTATGGAAAATTAAGCTCCGGCTATCTCTATTAAATTTATTTTGTACAAATGACAAAATAAATTTCATGGAAAAATTGGCAAACCTAAATAAAATTATACAACTTTGCTAACGCACAATTAGCAATGTTATAAATAACTATAGTACTATGGGAACCATTTTAAAATGGCCCAAATAGCTGGCGAAAAACATCAATGCAATCACACCAACAACCCTAAAAAACAAAGTGCCTAAATATCTTTCAGATATACATAGCTACGCTTTCCTTAATCTTATTTTTCATATAGTTTTTAGAAATGGGAGATGAAAATATGTTTTTGGCGGCAGCGGTCAGAGGTTAGCTAGAGATAGCGCACTAGTTAAGACGTAGCTAATATTAACTCGCTTGCAATTTAAAGCGGTCGTTTTAGATTTAATTCTATATAAATTCTATTAGCAACACACAAAAACCACGAAAAACAAAACAACGTAAAACAAGACGATGTTGATACATAAAATTGTAGTGATTTACTAACTAAAGTTAAATTTAACTGACAAAAGACAACGTTACTAAATCATTGAGTAAATGTTGTTAAAAGGTCATACGTATTATACAAATCAAGTAATAGGTCACAATAATACTTTAAAACGAAGTCTTAAATTATTAAGTTTAATACAAAAAAAATCTTACAGATATTCGTTTATGTTCGGAAACTTTAGAATCCTATGCAAAACCCACATGAAGTATGACGATTGGAAATCAATAAACAAAAGTATTAAAAACTTTGATACAAACACTATTTCGTTAGTGCTTATTTAAAAGGACTAAAGCAAACATAAGGATTTGCAGTGAACAGACCTAAGGACCTAGACATTTTGGGAAAAATCTAGCAACATGTTAACATAACGCACTCCAATTAATTAAAACGTAAGAAAACCATTTTTATAATTAGTGTAACACAAGCTGTATTATTTATAGCTGTATTATTTATAGCTGTATTATTTATAGCTGTATTATTTATAGCTGTATTATTTATAACTGTAATTTATAATAACTGTAATTTAGAATTTATATCATTTTAATGACGCGATCAACAAATATTGCTATTTTACTAGGATAAAAAATTTGAGAGAATAAAACACTACATTAACGCGCTATTTAAATTAAATTAATAATTTAAGAAATATACCAAAATTTACACAATACAGCGAAACGAACAAACCCTTTTCATAATGTACATAACCTCCCACATACCTATAAAAATTTCATAGAAAATTTGGAATAATCAACCTTATATTTACATGATTAATATTCAAACAGAACATAAATGAACGAATTAAAAACGCGATGTAAAATATATCTTCATGAAAATTTTGCACGAAATCTTTAATATATAGATAAGCTTCCAAACCTGAAGTATACATAACGTTACGTACTGTTGATTTAAAAGTAAAAAAAAACATTGTTATAAGTGCAGATCATATCCAATTGTTATATGAACGCTTAATTCAAATACAAATAGAATTATGTCATCACAATTAGAGCTTTTTGGGCTCAACGTTATAACCGATTTATGGTTGTTTGTCGTGGACGAATTGTTATATACAATTTTAATAATACATACATACATTTGTGTATTTATACTCCATCCTTAGATCCGTGATGTTAATCCCGCAAAATATTCCGTTGTAGGTACTCATATTAAATGTAAATAAAATACGTTTTTGAGCAGGCGCAGTAAATCCGAAAAATTAAGCCAATAGTGCTTCTTATCGTTAACCTATAATTTTAACCCTTGAATTCGTTTTATAACGACCGAATAATTTTCCGATTAATATTTACTCTTTAATATTAATTAATTTATATTTAAAAGTAAACCTGTAAAAAAAGCTATAGTAGAAAAGAATTATGATGAAACGTAAGTATTTTTTTCGTATATAATAAATATATAAATATGAATAAATATATATATATATCTTCCTTCTTCGCTTTTTGAAAGCATTTTATCTGGAATATAAGTTGTATTGTTCTATGGGGCGCAATTATCTTTTTTCTAATTTCGTTTCATGTAAGTTAAGATTTCGTTCATACAATGAGTTTTTAGAACTATTTACTTGCTTCTTTATATGCTTATTATGATAATTTAGGTAATTACATAACAATAACTTCGTTATGTAAAAGTGTTTAGTATCTTTCTGTACAAGATTTTTCGTTATTTCTTTTTTATGATCTATTTGATCATTATCCGTTCCTCATAAGATTTACATTTGATTATTAACGTTAGCAAACTTGATTGCTTTATTTTAAAATTGAGAACAATACTCCTTTAACTTTTGACTAGCATTTTAAGGAATCTCTCTCTTGTAAATTGTCTTGTGATTAGTATTATCTATCCCGATATTTAAATGACTTTCCATTGTATCAAAAAAATGCTAAAACCTGTCCTAGTTTCAGACATTGTTCAACAAACATCACCATTCCTGTGACCAAAAAGAAATTACCACATTTTATATACAACTACATTTCGTTCGAGAATTGCAACTAACTACGAAACAACTACAAGCTATCAATGACAATTTTCACAATTAGGATGGCCATAGACAATCTAAATCCTTGCCAGTTACCAGTGTTTTTGCTTATATTATTAGTTTTGATGTCTTAACTATGGAAAATAAGGGTAAAAAATAAAGAAAAGCAATATTTTTGATAATATTTGTATTCAATTTTTATATATATATCAAGGTTTTACCTCTGTGCATATGAAACTGACAATAATCTACTTAATCCTGGGTACACGCAAATATTTCTGCCGCTAACATAACACCAAACAGCGAAACGAATCGAAAACGTATCGACTTCAAACTGAAACGAAGAAAAACGCATATTTATATCCGCATTTGCCCTTAAAAGGTTCCCAATTTGATTTTAAATTATGAACGTAGAACTATGGACTGATCATTAAATTTTAAATCTTTATGAGAAATAATATTTCACTTAGTTTTCTTTCATTAACTTTAATCACTAGACTACGACTAAATAGATCCGTAACATTTTCATACAAATATAATATAAGGGCTCATTTATTGTTTTCGGTCATTTCCATCTTTACGTTAAGTAATTTCGTTGCATAAAATTGTACGATTTATTTCTTAATTACGATTAACATATTTCACTTGGTACATATTGTTACTCTAATAACCTTAAATATTCCGCCCAAAGTAAACGAATTTCACAAACAGCAATTAGACCTTAAAACGATGAATAAAAAATACGCTTCCGTATACACTGTTTGAATCGTATCAAACTATATTTAAATGACAATCATATAAATAAAGAATGTGCCAAATGCTAATATGCCTATAAAAGCCTTAGATAACTAACCATATTTTTTTCTTCTAGAATCCAAACACATTTGTAAAAAAAATCTTAAATCTTGAGAAAAATCTCCGCTTCCGCACTTTGTTAGTCAACGTCACATGTCAATTATTATTTTAATGGTCCTAATTTTCTTAAATTTAAGCTGGGACAAAAAAACGACAGCTGAAATATAAGAGGTAAACTAATTTCGTAAGGCTTTATCTTTATGATAAAGAAATCCCGCATCCCCATGTCAAAGCAAATGCTAAAATGCGTATGAAGCATGCGTGAGACGGGACGAAAACGACATCTTAAACATACACGGTGGAACGTCAAGTCTATTATTCAATCTGTTATAAATATGCATACTTAGTACATAACATATAAAGCAAAATGTAGTCATCGTATTAGAAAATAAGTAAATTTGTTGCCTAAGTAGGTAAAAAGGCGTGCGCTTCACGAGCGAAAATGGTTCCTACAAGCATAACACCGGTTAATGCTTGGATAGTCATGAAATAGCGAGGGAAAAATCTCATTAAAAAAAAATAAGATGAACAACACACTAAAGCTACGTGTCAAACACAAACTCATACCATAAATGAGGATACATTTTTTTAAATTGTTGCATTAAAAATATCAGAATTGTTAAAACATCATAAACATTCCATGAAGGCAGAGCCAATAATAATAGATTAAAAATGTGTAAATAAAAAACTAGTTTTTGCCAGCAATGTACCATGACCATAAAAAACGCAAAACCTCTAGTATTGCGAGATTGATAAAAAAAAACCTCAAACAAGATTACTCACTCCGCAAACATACATATTTGATTGTAAACCATTATAAATGATAAACGTATTCGTATTGTGCAATTCATATGACTATTATTTAAATGTAATATAAATCATATGTGGGGTTTGAAGCCCTTAGGAACTGTGTGCCAAGTTAATTCTGTTTAAGAACACAATAACCACATCCTAACATGTTCAAAGCTACAAAAAAAACTTCCGCAATTTAAATATTAGTGAGCTTGATGTGCTGTTGCGTAATGCAGAAAAATAATTGCAAATACACAAAGAAAACAGAAAAACAATGAAGTTCAAATTAAATACATTTTATAATGTGAAGACCATAATACAGGGCGAAATAAATACTATTGTCGGAAATAATTACAGATTTACACAGCAAATGATATAAAATTGTATGCGTATATAAAAACGCAATAAATGGACCACAACGACGCTTACGCAAATAAAATTCTTTCGCCCTATGTAAATCTAAAAAAGACAACTTTTTTATTCGATATTTATTTACGAACACCAATGTAAAAACTCTTTCGCCCTATAAACCTTACAAAGCCGATATTTTTATGTATATATAATATTACAGGAACCTAGTCTGTTCGATGCTCAAATATAAAACTCTCGCCTTAATAAAACTGAAAAATTCAAATTTCTTTGCATAAATGATAAATTCTTTCGCCGTAGAAACCTCAAGTCAAATTTTACTGTGTAAATTAGTCTTAGGAGCCTAGTCCATTCAATTTTCGTTTACGAAACCTTCTAAACCTTAAAAAGCCAAATGTTTTAATATTCTGTTGCACACACCCTAAAGCCGAAGTTCTTTGTAAAAAATATTAAATCACACAGTGTGCCTAGTTTCCCCAAAGCTTCATTTTCACGTTTCAAAAGTTTTACGCCTTATAGGTTTTGAATGCTTATTTACCACCTATCACGTCACTAAAAATCCAGTCGCCTTAAATAATTTCTTTGTATGAAGATAAATCTAAACAAATTCTTTCGCCCTATAAACCTTCAAAAGCCAATTTCTTTGTGTAAAAACTTGGTATTTATATTACCAGATCTCTATCACCCTATAAAACCTTAAAAAAATAGCCAAATTGCTTCAATAAATCACTTCTTTCGGCTTGTAATAAACTTAAAAAATTGAATCTTTCGATATTAAATTCATTCAATGTTTATTTACTATCACGTCTCGGAAAATTTAGTGACCCTGTAAAACCGTACAGTCACGTTTCTCTGTATAAAAATGTATTTTAAATTTTCTTTCAGGCTATAAAGATTAAAAAGTAGAATTTCCTTGTATGGAACACCAATCTTAATATTCTTTCGTCCTATTAAACCAAAATTGCCAAATTTCTTTTACCAAAACGTCAATCTAAAAATTGTTTCGTCCTGTATACTTCAAAAATAGAATCTTAAGATACGAAGTTCATACAAAATTTATTAATTATGGCGTTTTCGCATTGCAAACCTAAAAAGGTTATCTTTATACAAAACATTTGTCTACAAATTCTTTCACCCTATTAAATCTAAAATAATATAGAATGTTTCGGCGCCTAGTTCATTTAAATCTTATTTACTAACGAGTATCTGATAATTCATTCGCCCTATAAGTCGGATTTCTTTATTTGAAACGCTAGTTTACTCATTTTAACGTACTACAAAACCTCCAAAAACCGAATTTCTTTGTATATATAACAACACTTCTCCGAAAAATCCTTTCGCCCTGCTTTAACACGTTAATTTCCTTATAACAATACCAATTCTTATAAAGGTCGAATTTCTTGGTTCAAAACAATAATGTACAGTTTCTTTCACCCTCTATAACCTACATAATCAAATTTCTTTGACACAACTAAAAATTCTTTCGCCCTATAAACCTAACAAAGTCGGATTTCTTTGTTTAAAAAGCTAATTTACTCAATTTTACGCACTACAAAAGCAAATTCTCTTTGTATACAACTCTTCTCTGAAAAATTCTTTCACCGTAAAACTTAAAAACGTCGAATTTCTTTACATAAAATAATCTTAAATTTCTTTTCCTCTATAAACATGAAATGGTCGATTTTTTATAAAACAATACTTTCAATGCTTAAAAAGTAACCTAAAAATTCGTCGCCCTCAAACCTTAGAGCCGAAGTTCTTTGTAAATCGTAGTTTCTAGTGCATTGAAAACTTCATACTATTACGTTTCAAAAAGTCTATCGCCCTATAAAACCTAAAAACAGCAAAATTTCCTTATAAAACTAATTGTTAAATTCTTTCGCCCTGTAAGCTTCAAAAAATAGAATTTTTGTGCACCAAGGTTGAATGCTTA